AGTAATTCTTTCTTTTGGTCTTTTGATCTTTATTTTTTCTAGTAATGAGTATCAATTCACTAAGTCTCACTGAAATCTGTCAGTTTTTTTGTGCCTTTTTGCACATTAAAAAATATGCTTTTGTGCAGGACCTTCTGGTACTTGAGCATAAGACATCTGAGGCATTGATATTCATGTGAAGAAAAATGTTAATGATGGCTAAATTTTTTCAAGCACTCAGTTTAAGCCAGGCACTTTGTAAGTACTCCGCATGCATTCTGATTTAATTCTGACAACAAGGATGTGACGTAGGTTTTATTTTCACCCCCACTTTAGAGAATAAAGCTTGACCATAGGCTGATACTTGCCCAAGATACCGCAGAGTCAGGACTCAAAACTCGAGTGTACCATGATTAAAGCCACTGTCCGTCATCAGGACACCACACTCCCTCCAGGGTGGTGGGCTTGTCCTCCTTCCCTGATAGAGATCCTATGAAGAACCAGTAAATATGTTCCTTTTCTCTGTTTGGTTCACATTCTTCTCCATAGACTCTGTATCCCAACTCTGGGCACTTTTCAGATCCAGTTGAAAACCTGGGCATCTGGGTTGATGCGTCCTCCCAGCAAAATCCCCTCCAGCTGCTGAGTAATGTCCTCAGTTCTCTGGTGGAATTCCATTCTTCTGGCATCTCAGGCCATGATTTGGGAAATAAAATCCTTCCCTCCAACTCATGCTTCAGGAGAGCAGTGCATCTTCTGAGTCATCACGGCCAGGTGTACACATGGTCGATTTCATACAGCTCATTTCATAAAAAAGGCTCCCACTCACTAACATCACAGAATGCAAGGCTGGTTTGGAAAGTGAGAATGGAAGATGAGTTCAGTTTGTGGTGTACTACGGTCTTTCTTGTTTCAATCCCTTTCTCTCCCACACTGCCCCCTTACCCCAATCGGTCTTCCATGCTGCTGTCAAGATTCTTTCTGAGCTACAAACTTGACTTGGGTCCTCCCTTTCCCTCCCTTCAGAATTAGTTCAAACTCTTAAACATAGCATATGAGAGCTTTCATCATCCAGACCCTACCCCTTCTCCTGTCTCATTTCCCACTATTCCTCACTTCCCACTATTCCCAGAAATATTCTGCTCCAGAAACATCCAGCTGTGTTGCAGCTGTTGGGGATACATCATGTTGTTTGATGCCTCCTTGCTCTGATGACTACCTGGAATATCTTCATCCTTAACCATTGTACCCCAGTCCACCTCACTCCCTCTGAACCGCTAAGCTTAAGATTCTTTAAGACATAATCCAAATGAAATATCCTCTCTGAAATTTCTGCAGATGCTTCTAAAAAAAAATAAGTACCTTAGACTTTCTTTTATTATTTCATTTGTAGCACTGTACCCCGGTCCTAGTAAACTGTGAACTCCTTACAGACAACAATCACGTCTTGCGTATATCTGAAATTCCAGTGTCAACCATCAAGTATAGCTTAACAGGGGCTTAGGAAATGTTTGTAAAAGAATGAATGAATTTGTGGAATCCAGGAATTAATTCACGAGAGATCAAGGAATCACACACTGTGGAACGTATTAAAAAGGTAATCTCACATTGGTAAGGGAGAGAATGATGCGGTAGAACCTTATCAGCTGAACTTAGCTTAGGTAAATATTCACATGCTGACTCAATGGGTCTTAATCCTCACTGTGATCGTGATTACCTGAGGACCTTAGAAAAGTCCAATGCCTGGATCCTACCCCCGAAATTCTGTTCAATTTTTCTATTTTTTAAAAAAACAGTCTGGAAGATTATGCTCTGCAGCCAAGGTTAAGAATAACTGCTCTAGACCGAGATAGACATTGCAGTGTGTAAACTTAGTAGTTTCTTCAAGGTGAAAGCTGTTTGTATGCAGGAGCTCCCAGAATTCACACAAAGATGTCTCAGTGCTGACTTAGGCTGCCTGTGCATTTCTCGACACATGTAAGCATGCCCATTAAGCCCTGTGACATGCTCCGTTATCCCCTCTGCAATGTGTTCATAGTTCCTGATAGGTTTTGCTATGCTAGGAGCAGAGGCACTTGCATCTTCCCACTGAGAGCCTGTTGGTGGATACTGGCTAGAATCCCAGCCCAGAAAGGGACAGCATTCAAAGTGTTTTTGTTTTTTTTAAATCTAAACTGTTGCTAAATGTTTAATGTTATGGTCAAAGTCTCTGCTTGTGAAGTAAATAAGAAAGTGTTTGAACATGTGATGCAATGTGATCTCAGGAATACACAACCTTGGACTCTGAATCTCTATAGTTTAATTTACAAAGTAGAGTAGGAAAAGATAAAGTCATTAAGAATTTTTTCCCCTTTTCAAATTGTACTATAGTTGATGTGTGATGTTATGTTAGGTTCAGATGTATTTCATAGTGATTTGACATTTGCATACATTACGAAACAGTCATCACTGTAAGTCTAGTAAACACTTGTCTTCATACAAAGTTATTACAATATTGTTGCTGTATTCCTTATGCTGTATCCCTGTGGTTTATTTATTTTATAACTAGGGATCTGTACTTCTTAATCTCCTTCACCTATTTTATACCCTCCTTGTCGAAGTCTTTAAGAATTTTAAGTACAAGGTCTTATGTTCCTTGCAAAACAAATGTCATATATTCTTCAACCTAAGTGTCTATGTGGCTGTGTATCCCTGTTCATGGTTAGTAAAATGTAATATGCTAAGTGCAACATTAAATCCAAGGACTGGCTACTCTTTAGTGATGATTATAAACCCAACAATGCAAAACAGGCACTTGATTCGTCAAAATGCCTGGGATTTTGTTTTAATGGTTTTTCCATTTGCGCTGCCAAATTAAACGTTAATGGCAAGCTTAAATGTGTCTTTAAAATGTCATTTAACGTCGATTATCAGCCAGCTCTTTGGTTATTATATTATTAAGTTGTTATTGGAGTGTGAGCTGAACCATATGGAGAGGAAGATAGACCAGACTACACATCAGACACATGGTGCTAAAGCGATATGGAAAAATACATCACAGACTGGAAGGTGAGTGATTGCCTCTCATCTTAAGGCTCATCATGAAGGCTTTTCATTAGACCCATGTGTGTTTTTATAGGAGTTTCGGGAACATCTTGTAATTTTCAGACATTTTCAAGTGTCAAGGCACTCAGGACTAACAATAATTATAGTTTATTAATTGTGCAGATTACCATCCATCATGTTGCATTTAATTATACAAACAAGGGAAAATTTTACTAGCCAAAAAAAAAAAAAAGCCACAAACACGTGGCTCCCTTCAAAACCTGTCAAACTAAGTTTTACTTTGCTGTTTCTTCATTTTCCTGATAGTATTATTTTTGCATCGTTTTCTAAAGTTCAGTAGCTGGCAAATGGGAGCTGGTTGCCCATGATCCTGTCCCTCTTCCTCCGTCTACCTCAGATCTTAATTATATAGAGCAACTTGGTCCCTCTTTATTACCTTTTTTCTCTTCTCCGCCCATCGAGGGAATTCTCCATGATAAAGCAGAGCCCGTGAGCGATCTAGCAAGCACAAACCCTTCTCCTTAGGAGGGGAAGGTGGAGTGTGTGCTTGTGTGGGCATCTATGTGAAGACTGTGATGTAATTGCAAGGGGGGAGGACCACCCTGATTTTATGTTCGAGGCAGTACACTGTTCTCCTCATCACAGAACATAGCATTCATTAGGAACATCATTTCAGCATCACTGTCTGACAAGAACACTTCTCAAACTGATGTGTCTCAAGGAACTTTAGACCTGTGGATGTAAAGCACCCCCCTACCAATGGAAACAAGCAAAGACTTTTCATTCAGAGCTTGCTATAGGAAGGGAGTCAGCCGTCATCGTTTGTGTTTGGCAGAGATTCAAACTCAGTTAAAGCTGTGGGAAAACTTTATGGTGGACAAAAGGGAACAGCTTCAGCTATGACCTGATTGAAGGCTGTTTGTCTGGGGGAGCTGGAGGTGGAATACCTAGCAGCCAGGCATCCTCGTGAGTGATTAAAGGAACATATTTGGCTTCCTCTGGTTGGTCCTAAGTTTGGCTATTGCTACAGAGACTGTGATTTGGCTTCCTGGACTGGTTGCTACAGAGATTGCAGGTCAGAGTTCTGTTTTTATACCTTGTCTGGCCATTGTCTCTTTGCGTATTCAGTCCCTTAGAGCAAATGCTGTGTAGGAGAAGTCCAGGGTCATGGATGGTCCACTCTGAGCCCTCCCAAGCAGCTTCACCAGCATTGGCCCATCATCTCCGACTTCACATCTTTTCTTCTTTGAGTCCTAACTTGTAATTTCACATCAACTTTCCGACCTCTCAAACAGATTTGGAAATCTGTCTAGACAGATCTAAAGAAGTATTAAGAATAGATGAGCAGGACTTTGGGTTGATTTGGTGTGAGAGAAGACTGAGGATTCAAGTGTAGCTCCTGCAGCTACCAGGAAGGTCGTGTTGCTCCCTGCAGGTAAAAAAGGAATCGGGAACAAATAGCCATTTTATAAGAGAAGATGATGAGCTCAGTTTTTTAGGCATTATAATTTTAGACGCCTCCGTGAAGATGTTCTTTAGAATCATCCATCTGGAACCTGGAAAGTGAATTTGAAGGTGTGGAGACAGGAACCCTGAGAGTAAGTGATGATCCTCAGTTTACAGTTCAAGGCTGTGGGTGGAGCAGGCACTTGAGTCTTTAGGTGTTCCATTACACAAAACAAAGGATGGAGAGTAAGAGGTCTGGACTAGAGACCCGGCAATCTGGAATCACCAGGATCCTATCAGAGGCAAGAATGAGCAGCCTTATGCCATTAGCATAAATGTCAGGAAGACAGAAACCATCGGCCAAAGGTTTCACAACAGATTTTCACTAAAGTGAAAAGTAAATGATTAAAGAATGTTGGTCTCAAGTTCCTTTCACGTCGTGATACTTTATCTTCTATTTGCAGAGATAAAAGTAAATCCCCCAAAAGGTTAATCTTTAAGCACCTTAATATTTACACGTCCCTTTTTAGGAGAGGAAAGCCACCGTGGTTGTGTCCGTGTGCAGCACCCACAATGATTTCCCCAGTGCTCATCTTGTTCTCGAGTTTTCTCTGCCATGTTGCTATCGCAGGACGAAGTAAGTACTCTTTGCTTTTGGGAAAAAATCATTACTATATCCAACCCCCTCTTATATGCCAGAGATCCGTAATGCTTACTTATTCCCTTTAGGGTGGATGCTGGAGAGACTGGGCTGGTGGTTATTCTTTAATATTGCCATGCTTAAAGCTTCTCCATAAGATAGTTAGCTAGTTTAGGCCTCAGTGTAGTGACCTGTGAAATAAGGAGCACCAGCACCCCTCACGGGGCAGGGGGGGAGTGTAGCTCAGTGGTAGGGTGCATGCCTAGCAGGCATGAGGTCCTGGGTTCAATCCCCAGCACCTCCGTTAAAAATAAATCAATAAACCAAATTACCACCCCTACCCCCCCCCAAAAAAAAAGTAAAGAAGAAAATAGCACCCTTCAAAGCATCAGTGAGGGGATTGGATGAGATATTGCATATATCAAGTATTTGGTACAGAACTCAGCATACTTATTATTGGTAGCATGAAATATTTTTCATTTGTGTGTGCTAGCTGAGCCTAGAAATGCAAATATAGCTTTCTTCACCAACTGCTCTGTGCTCTGTTTCAGCCTGTCCCAAGCCGGATGAATTACCATTTGCCACTGTCGTTCCATTAAAACAGTCCTATCTGCCGGGGGAGGAGATCGTGTACTCCTGCCAGCGGGGCTATCAGTCCCGCGGAGTGATGCGGCGGTTCACCTGCCCGCTCACAGGGCTGTGGCCCGTCAACACTCTGAGATGCTTACGTAAGTCCAGTCCGTCTCTCACATCCTCCCCCTCCTTCGAATTCCGGCCGTCTTGGGGGACAACCTACCTTGTCGTGCTCGGGGTACATAAAGTCAGCAGAGCTGCCAAGAAACAGGAAGGCCTGGGGGCTTTCCATGGGAGAAGAGAGCAAGGGTGACAAGGGCCATTTAGAGAAGAGGGGACAAGAATAGGCTGGAACTAGGGGAGATTTTAAAAAGAGACTTGGTATGGTGAAAGGAGAGGGGATCACTGCAGACGTGAAAAGGGACGTGGAGATTACATTACAAATTATATTTATAATAAAGTAGAAATTATTAATCATGTACAGTAATATTACATATAATCATATACCATCTGTAAAACAGCAACAATTACATGTATATATATTATATATATGAATTTATGGTAGATGGTTTTATTTATTCTTTGGAATGTGATCTGTGACATCACGCTGGCATAATTTTTTTATGGTTGACTGTTGAGCAATCAACTAGAGAGAATTTCAGGCAATTTTAGGTAAAAGTCAAGCAGTAAAAATAATTATATGAACTTAACTGAGCTCTGGTTATTTTAGTTGGATGGGCATTGCCATTTGTGAAAACGATACATGTTCCTACAAGTGATTTTAATATGATTTTTGATTTAAAAAGAGAAAACATAATTTAAAAAATTTTTTTTATTGAAGTATAGGTGATTTACAATGCTGTGTTAGTTTCTGGTGTACAGCATAGTGATTCAGTTATACATATATATTCTTTTTCATTATAGGTTACTACAAAATATTGACTAAGTTCCCTGTGCTATACAGTAGGACATTGTTAAAACATAATTTTTAATGAAAAACTACTGTAACATCATTAGGGAAAATTTTTCTTTAAATCAGCCATAACTTTGAAACACTAACAACTTCATTTTTCTTCATTTTTCAAGTTTTCCATGTGTATGTTTTCATCATTGCAGAGAGTAGATACCATTTTGTGTTTTTCTGTTTTCACTAACATTGGAAACATTGGCTATGTCTCTGTGGTCTTTGTAATTCATATTTTATTGGATGTCTTATATAGCTCAGCTGGATTTACCATTTACTTACCATTAATTAAAATAATACCATGACAGCAAACATTTAGACTGTTCGATTTCTGTTATTAAAAACAACAATATAATGAACAGCCTAGTGCACACATCATTTGACTTATTTTGAGTTATTTTCTTGGGATGGTTACTAGTAGAGTTACTGGAATGAAGGACAGAAATGAGTTTATATATTTTTATTTTAATAGGAAGTTCTGTAACTAGAAATTGACCTTTTTTACCTTTAAATCACAGCCAGAGTATGTCCTTTTGCTGGAATCTTAGAAAACGGAGCTGTACGCTATACAACTTTTGAATATCCCAACACGATCAGTTTTACTTGCAACACCGGGTAAGGACTTCTAGCCAACAGATGCAGCACGTTTCTGCACCGTTAAGCTAAACATCAAGATTGGTCCATATTTCATTTCTACATTTAGGTGGGGCTTGCTGAACACAAATCACTGAATATACATACACAGAGGCATTGAGGGGGGTGGGTATGAGCTGGAGGCTATAACAACTAGTGAAATATGAAGTCAGTACTATATTTAATTTTTCTGCTCCTGATTACTTATTGGAGGAGAATGTTGAAATTATTGAACCAAGGTGATAATCCTTGATAGTCCCTGGACCAAATCTTAGCACGAGGGTTAAAACACTTAAGTAATTGGACTTGGGATTTGGTTATGAGGCTAATTTGATTGACTGACCTGGTAGTCTCTAGAAGAAAAATCTATGGAGAGGGCTGGGATTGTGATGATATAGAACATTATTTCTCTTACTCCTCACGTATTGCAGTACAAAATCCCTAGGAAGAAAGCACTTTTGGTTGGTCATATAGCTCAGCTGCCTTGTGAGCAAATACGCCATCAGTGACACTGTCAATAGCACACTGGCTGTTGAGTAGGGCAAAATGTTACTGAAGACCCTTGTTTGCAATTAGAGATTAAGAAATACTGTGTG